ATCTTGGAATTGTAAAAAGTTGTCTAGTTTTGTTTTGTTTTTTTTTTTTCTGTTAAAAAATGAATTTAGCCTTCATTGCAGTTTTTAGTGTCAGTCCATGTTTAAAATTTATTGCTGCTGATGCTAGGAGTGGAGAATAATGAGAACATATCTCAAAGATTGCAGGAGATTAAGTCCCATTTTGAATTATCAGAAGAAATTGTAGTTCTTTGTAATTTTTTTCTGTTTTGTCTTTTTGCTTGTGGGATTAATATAAAATAGCAGTAGTGTGCCAGGGAGATAGCTCAGCAGCATAAGCACCAGCCTGGCAAGGTCCTGAGTTCAATCCCTGGTACCACACACACACACAAAATAAAATAGCAATAGTTCTTAAAGCCTAACTTTTCCACTTGGCTTGTTGGATCTCAGTGTAGTTTAGCTAACAGTTACTGAGAATCTGGTAAACTGCAAAGTCACTGGGGAATAAGTAACTTAGACTGGAAATGCATAGAACTAAAAAACATTTAAAGAGGAAAAAGTTACAGCATGGCTAGGCACATCCTTACTCACTCACAGTGATTGTTAGTACTCTATAGCTGTCTACCCTGCTAGCCTTTCTTGCTTTTCAAACAATATTTATTGAATTAAAAATTTTTAAACATTCTATTAATCAGTGAATTAGTTTGGTACAGGGTCTCGCTTTGCAGCTCAGACTTGCAGTGATCTTCCTGTCTCAGCCTCCCCAGTGCTGAGATCACAAACGTGTGCCACCATGCCTGGTTTTGGTGGCTGGCACAGTGCACCCAGGGTTCCAGGGCTGGCATGTCAGGTACCAGGTCCCAAACTTGGGTCCTTGCACTTGCCAGGCAAGCACTTAGACCGCTGAACTGCCTCTCCAGCCGCTGAATTAAAAAAATTTTAAAAATTTAAGTCAATTCTCATAGTTCCTTTTTTTCTTTCAGTACCAGGGATCGAACTCAGGACCTTACACTTGCCAGGAAAGCACTTATTCCACTGAGCTATCTCCCCGGCCCCAACTGTTATTTTCTTATTCATGTTGTAGGCCAAATGCTAGTGTGTCATTTCCATCCATTGTGACTGTTTAGTAGGAATTAATTAGTGCTATGTGAAGAGTGAAAGAAGGTAGAACAGGCAACTTTAACAGGAAAGAATGTAATCTTACAAAGGCAAATTTGATCATAGAGTATTGAGCAATATGACAGCAATGATGAGATCATTCATATTGTTCCAAGAGTTACTTCTCTGGGGTCCCCCTGGGCCAGGCTCCTGGGCAGTGGGAGACCTCACAGATGAGACTCCTTCGCCTGTGTGGGGCCCACATCTCTAGGAGGAGTGGGAAATGTTGAGCTATGAGCATCATACTCCATAAATAACTTTAGTGGACTGCAGAAAGAAACAGAGACGGGCAAGAGAGAGTAGAAGCTGGCGGGCTCTAGTCTGAAACAGCAGGGCTAGGGCAGGCCTTCTGGATGAGGTATCCTGGGAGCCCAAGATTAGCTAGAGATGCAGGTGGGATCCTGGTGGCCACCTGTAGTGGGGGTGCTCCCGGCAGCTGGTGCTTAGTGCGTCTGGGAAGATGGAGGAAACTGAGGCCAGGGCGTTGCAGAGGTAAGCGGATGGGAGAATATGAGGGCCCGGGTGGTGTTGGGCAGAGAAGTGTGGAGGAGCCTTGCAGGTTGGAGCAGGAGGCTTTTCCTGATCAGTGCTAACATCAGTGTCCTTGTTTCGGAGTAAGGCTGGAAGGAAGATCTATTTGGAATCGATTGTAGTAACCTGGTGGAAGTTGTGGTGACTGGGTCTGTGATGAGAGAGAGGTGGCCATATCCTGGGTATGTTTTGATGGAGGACCTAAGAATATATGTCAAGACATGGGCTGTGAGGTGAGGGAAAGGGAGAAGCCCCTGGTGACACAAGAGGAAAGCTGCAAGCTGAGCCCTGGAAGCAGGAGGAGAGAGAGTGATTTGCAGTCTTGGCTGCTGCTGTGACCTTGATGGACCCCGATGACCTTGATTCACGGTGGCCTGGAGAAGAACAGGGTAGCAACAAAGCATGAGGAGAGTCAGTTGATGTGGGGTCAGTCAACAGTGAACAAGGAAAGGCCTGGAGATGGTCAACCTGAATTCTTTTGGAAGAATTTTGCCACACTGGGGAGAAGAACACCTAAGCACTGGCTCATGAGAGCAACTGGGATCAGGAGAGGTTTTTTTTCTTTGCAGTACTAGGGATTGAACTCAGGACCTTGTGCTTGCCAGGCAAGCATTTATTCTACTGAGCTATCTCCCCAGCCCAAAAGGTTTATTTTTTTTTCTGTATTTATTTATTGAGTTTTGATGCTGAGGATTAATCAAGCCTGGGGCCTCATGCGTGCCAGGTAAGTGCTATATCATTGAGCTAAATCTCCTGTCCTGGTTTTGTTTTGGGATGGGAAAATTGACAGCCTTGGATCTGTCCTGATGGGAACAGTCCAAAAAGGGAAGACAGAGGAAGGATCAGAATGTCCTTGAGTAGATGCAGAGATTGAATCTAGTGCACCTGTGGCGGGACTGGCTGTAGGTCAGGGCTAGAGTATACGTGCCAGTGGTGGCAAGCCTGTGGCACGTGTACTACAGGGGACCTTTTGTATCATCGAGAGCTCTGAAAGGCCACCATCACTGGTCTGTGCTATTGGGTTGGAGACACAGCACCTTGGTGAGTTGTTGGTGATGGGCAGGTCAAGGGAAGGTATCTTGGGAACAAAGTCTCAGCTTACTGTAGCGATGGGAGAAGAAGTGTTGCGTGAAGAAGAAGGAGAAGTGAACTTGCCATCTGGGGATGGGAGAGTGTGTGATATTGTGACTCCTGGTGGCACAGAGGGGGCCTGGGGGTCACATGAGACAGGCCATACCCTGGGGCTTCTGTAGCCTCCTTAGCATGCCCGGCATGCCAAGCAAATACAGCAAGGTAGATACAGCCCAGGCCAGTGCGGGTACTACAGTAACTGATCATGGAATCTAAAGCAGATAGGGATGAAGGGAAGGATGTTGTTACAGTCGAGGGAAACAGTGTAGTACAAGACACAGAATTTATTGGATTACTTTATAGTAGTCATTCACACAGTCAGGTACAAAGGAGTGCAGGAGATCTGTCCACACACTGAAGACCCAAAGGATCCAGCTGGAGGCCGGGATCCCATGGCAGTATCCTGCATGAGTCCAGCCGAAGGCCTAGAGCCCACGACGGTGTCTCATGCAAGTCATGAGTAGGATAAAGGACCTGTGTCAGCCGGTTGAGGAACTTACATTAGAGCCAGGAAGCGATACTCAAGGACTAGAGCTCTCCCGAAAGCTCCATAACAATGGAGCCATCCTCCACAACAATGAGATCCTGAGCTGCTCTGGCAAGGAGAACAGCTGAGTTCATGTCCAGAAAGCCAGCATGACGAGCTCCTCCAAGAGAACCAGCAGTTCTCCCTTCTTCCTTTCCAGTCCTGCCTCTTGTGCTGCAGGCAACAACCCTCAGGAGGGCCCTCCATGCCCAGCACTACGCCGACTCAGTTCAGCCATGTGCTCCAAGTTGACCACAGTTGTTAGTCCACCAGCGGTGGCAGACTGGCTGACTCTGGCTTAGCATTGGCTGTGGACTCAAAGGAGTGTTGGGGTTGGGGCGCTGCATGGCATGAGTTGATCGATGGAGATGTTTACAGAGGGACATGTCAAGTTGTGATTATTAGTAATGAAAAGCTCTGTGTGTGTCTGTGGGAGTTGGTGAGGGTGAGGACAGGAACTCAGGAAGAGAGAGGCCGGGAAGTTGGAACATTGATTGGTATTGGCCCCCAGATCCTTAAGCGTTGGACAGGAGCTGGATGTGAGAGTGAGGCCGGAAGAGAAATGAGAGATGGCAGAAGGAGGACAGGTCTGTGATGGTGAGGGTGGTTTGAGGGCTTGAAATGCAAATTCCAGGAACAGCGTGGTGAGAGAGAAGAAGGTGGCAGCAAGGTGTGGAGGGTCTGGGGGACAGGGCTGTGGGCGGCATAAGGCGCTGTAGAGGACAGCGCGGCCAGCCAGATCTGTGGGGCACTGTGAGGAGCTGGGGTCCCAGACAGGGTGCTGGGCCTGAAGGGCATGGTCAGTGGCCCACACCAGTGTTGTCATCCAAGGAAGGCCTTTGGGAGTGCAAGAGAGGAGAGAATGTGGGGACTGCAGCCCTCGGGGGGGGGGGGCTGCAATGTGTGTGTGTGGGTTGCACATCACACTTACCCTGTGTGTCTGCGTGTGCGACTGACATCGGTGGGGCTAAAGAGCAGCACAGCGGAAACGTGGTGAACTCGCAGCCCATGGTGGAGGTGAGGCCGTGGTCTTGGGCACGGGGAGAAGCAGGTGTCCCGTGCCTGGTTCCTGCCGAGTTCATAGAGTGCCTCACACACTGCCCAGTGCCAGCCCTTGAGCAGCCTCTTCTCGGGACAGTCTCTGCTTACCTCCCTCGTATGATCTGAAGATGCCATTCACAGTCACACGGCAGCCAGACACACACACTTGAACCCAGGTCTCTAGCTAACTGCAGCTGTCTCTCAGTTTGTTCCGTGGCAGTGTGTTTTGTATAATAAAAGGGAAGGCCAAGCTGCAGGGTCTCAGTGAGCCTTGCGACATTTTGAGATGCCTTGGGGTTATAGTCTTTGTTAAGTGGCTTGGCCCGGACTGCAGGTTTTTTTGGGTTAGGGGCTGTTCTCCCTTGGGCTCTTCTCGTACTGTCAAGGCCTTGTGGGGACCTAATCCCCTTGTTAGTGAAATGTGTTAAAAACTGTTGTCTCTCATCAGCTAATTTGCGGCTTTAGAAAAAGACACCTTCTAGCCTCACATTATTTCTGGCACACTGTTTAGGCAAACATCTGGACTTCAGTCTGAGACCTAGAAACTATTAAGTTTGTGCTACATACCTGGGGTGACAGACTTTGGAAGTTGTGATATGATTGAAAGGTTTTTCATGTTCATCTGCTGTTTTTGTTTTTTTTTTCCCTTTGGTAGCTGAACAGGAAGACACTCAGAAGAAAACCTTCACATGCTGGATAAATTCACAGTTGGCAAAGGTGAGGAGAAAAGAGTGAAAGAAGTTGCTAGGAAGGTGTTTGCTGTTGTCCCTATGTCCTGGGCTTGGGCTCTGAGCAAGCCACTGTGAAGCAGAGCTGGTGGCCTGCAGGAGGCCCAGGACAGCTTTTCTAAGAGCGTGCCAAAAGCCACTTTGATCTTTGTGTGTCTGTTTTTCTTTCCCAACACACAGAAAGGGTACTGTGTGTATGTAAAGGTATGGAACAGCAGAGTAAAACTATTTAAAGCCCAAGAATCTTTCATCAAATGACGTAATAACTGATGGGTGTGTAATGATGGTTAATGTTGAACACTATGCCAAACTCTGCGTCTGATGACGCTGAGCAATTCAGAGATTATGAAGCGTGTCTGTGTCTACAACATCCGAGTGGGGCAGGAGGCATTATGCCTGCCAAAAAGCCAGGGAGAAAAGCGTGGAGAAGTGGTGTGACTTGCCTGTGGGCACACTGTGTGTAAGTGGTAGCACTGGGATGCAGACCCCGTGGTGGGGACCAGCAGCTTTGATGGTCCCCACTGTGCCTTTCTGGCTGTGATCACCCTAGTGCGGGGTGACTGTCTTCCTGTGGACGGCTCCCATTGCTCACCTCTGCCCCATGCATGAGTTTCTATGCAAATGCACAGCAGGTTACTCCAGATATGCAGGCTGCTCTCCAGGTGGTCACTGTTGGGTAGTTCTGGAAGTCTCTAATGTCTTCACAGAGCAAGGCTTTAGGCTTTCGGTGAAAGCTCCACGCGGTGCCTTGTGTTTCTGGGAACTTCCCATGCGAGTCACTAAACTCACTACTGTTCTTCCGATGATATGATATAGAACTTTGTGTGCTCTCTAGCATTCTATTAATTAAAGAAATGCACTGCTGAATCTTAGGTTGTTAAAAAAAACACCATGTAGGAGCCAGGGAGATGGCTCAGTGGAATAAGCGCTTCCCTGGCAAGCACAAGGGCCTGAGTTCAATCTCAGGTTCCGTCAAAAAAACACCACCAACAACAAAAAACACTGTGTATACTTAATAGATTCTTAAAGGTACTGTGTTTTGGGGCCCAACAGTGATTATTTTTCTTGTGATTCTTGCAGCACACCCCTCCCTCCGTCATATCAGACTTATTCACAGACATTAAAAAGGGCCACGTCCTTCTAGACCTGTTAGAGGTACTCTCAGGACAGCAGTTGGTAAGATTTGAAAATGGCACCAAGCAGCTTTCTGTTGATTTTTAAAAGAAAAAAATTCTTTCATATTTATGAGTAATATATTTGCTTGAATTTCATAGCCTCGAGATAAAGGATCTAATACATTCCAATGTAGAATCAATATAGAACATGCCCTGACATTCCTAAAAAATCAGTCGGTGAGTATAAATTTTACCCACAGTTTGGTAAGGATGATTAATGTTATGGAATGCTTTGTCTTTTTGACCTGCATCTCTTCATTTCCAGATCAAGCTAATAAATATTCATGTTGCTGATATTGTAGAAGGAAACCCATCCATCATTCTTGGCCTCATCTGGACCATCATACTGCACTTTCATGTAAGTCATCTGATGATACAAAAATTACTTTTGAGCTAAGGATATAGCTCAGCGGCATAAGCGCCTACCTGGCAAGTGCAGGGTCCTGAGTTCGATCCCCACTACCACAAAAAAAAGAAAAAGAAAATGACTTCTGTTTCAGTTCACACAGAATGAAATAAGTGGAGTACAAAAAGTGTGACTTGAAGCTAGATTCATTCATTAGCGTCTGCCATAAATGAAAGCACTCATTAATAAAAGAACACTTGACTAGGTAGAAAATCTACAGCAGGCCTTGCGCCATTTTTCTTGTTTTTCAGTTAGAAATTGAATGCCAAATTATCACTATGCCCTGAAGTATTCCTGTCAGGATCAGTCTGGACAGCCCTGGCCTGGAATGTTTGCTTTGTAATTTTGTTTGCTGTGGGAAAGGAAAAGAAGGAAGCCCCTGCGGTCAGAGCGTGAGCCCTAACCCTCTAAGCTTTGGAACATCCCCCTGCCGTGTAGGCTCGTCCACTTGAGCTCTCAGCGACCCTCCCGCATCTAGTCTTCTCTCAGGGCTGACTCATAGACTCATTTCATCCCAGAGAGATTTCTGAGCTCTTAGCACGTTGTCCGTACTGTGCTAGGGCCCGGGAGATTCAGTGATGGTGTGGCCCTGGCTTTGTGAAGTTGGGGCTGATGAGCATTAGCTTTCAGGCCTGGGATTCTGATTTAGGGCAGATTTTTCTATACCCCCCTGAAAAACAGCATTGTCTGTATATCCATTAATTACTTTTAAAATAACTTTAAAAATTATGTGGGGAAACAAATGCTTATTTTAGGAAAACTAGAATACAGCATACCTAATTTATAAAAAAATTTAAAACATAAAAATCTCAACCTGGGAGATAGCTCAGTAGAATAAGCCCCAAGGTTCTTGAGTTCAATCCCTGGTATCTCTCTCTTTCTCTCTCTCATACACACATACACACACACACCCAAAAACTCCCAAACATATAAATCTTGATTACGTATTATTTTTATATGCAAGCTTTTATAGTTATAATACCCTAATATGCATGAGGATAATGAAACTAAATTTTACTTTCAAAATATGACCTAATTTGTATATCTACAAGCAAGACAGAAACGTGCAGTTTCTTATACTCTGACCGTCGCTGGATATATAGAAAAAGCTGTGTCTTTGTAGTATGCAGTTAGACTTCTTGAATTACTTACAGGATTGTTTTTGATGCACTGGGTGACAGTTTGATTTTCTTTCTTGGGGTGTGGCTCTCGATGTGTTTACTACTTTGTTCCTGCATATACCTTTGTTCTTAATAATTTGCAGGCAGCAACGCATTTCTGTTGATGCCCTCAGCACAGCTGAGGGGTTTGGTTGGGTTCACTTGGCAGGTGCGGGGCTCCAGGGCAGTGCTGTCGAAGGACCTGTGGACCAGCACACCTGGGATGCCATCTCCGGGGGAGATGAGGGATGGCCCAGAACAAGGGGAAGCCGCAGGAAGCTGGATGACCGACACTGGTGTTCACAGATTGGCCCAAAGCTCGTTTCCACAGAAATAAGCCTCCTTGTTACAGGATCTTTTTAGGTCTTATTTGGCTGCAGATTCTGGATCAGTAACATCCTTCTCTGTGTGTTGACGATCACACCCTCTAGATCGAGGAGCTCACCCAGGCGCTTTCTTGCACTTCCAATCAACCTTCTGTGGATGATGTGTGCGTGGCGGATTCGTCTCCTGCCTCAGGGCCACCAGCGAAGAAATGTTCCACAGCCCAAGCGCGGTGGCAGCTGTCTGCAAAGAAAGCCCTTCTCGTGTGGGCTCAGGAGCGCTGTGCCATGTAAGTAGCTGCTCCAACCGGAAGGGGCACGCAGGACGGCTGTGCCCACTGCTCACCAGCTTCCAGGCCGGCCAGCGTGGCACCACCAGAACTCCTCCTCAGGAGATAATCTCACGGGCTCCCTTCATTTCCCACTGCGTCTTCCAAACATGGTGTCCTTGAGCGCAGTCATACCAGAAGGTGATGTTTCTGGGTAAATGTCCCCTGTTACTGTGGAGAAGGAACAGGATACTTGAATACCCTTTCCTTCAGGATAACTCTCCTGTGCCTCGGGATAGATTCAGATGTCGAACCTTCCCACATTCTGACGTCTTTAAAAGTCAAGAAGACTGTGTCTTAATTGACTGCGTATGCCCAGGACCTAGCATAGTGGAAGTTCATGACAAGCGATCCTCAGCTGTGTGTTGAGTGAGCAACTGTGTGCTAATTCACAAATGAGAAAGAAACAAATTCATGAGGTTATTTCTTGGTGCTGTCTATAGTTATGTTAGAGAACATGGTCTTCATTACTTAATTCAGTGAAGAAACAAAGAGACCAGGGAGGTTGTATTTTGAAAAAGTAAGGTCAACTGGGAGAGATTTATGTTTATTTATCTTTTGTTTAGAGACAGGGTCTCACTATGCAGTCCAGGCTGGCCTTGAACTCATGGCAGTCCTCCTGCCTCAGCCTCCTGAGTGCTGGCATTATAGTTGTGTGGCACCACACCTCGCGTTGTATTTATTTGTTTTGTCTATTTGAAACAGGGTCTTGCTATGCAGTTCAGCCTGGCCTTGAGCTCACTTTGTAGCCCAGACTGGTCTTGTACTTGCAGTGATCCTCCTGACCTTATTTAATTTTTTAAACAAAGGAAATGTGTTCTGCTCTTGAGATACATTTTCTGTTTTCAGCAATGGCTGGGATGGAGATTAGGAAGAATAAGGGGTTAAGATGCAGGACCACTCCTTTTGGAAGAGCTATAAGGTGTGTGAGGTATCCTTACCTTATCATGGTGCTTCTGGGTAAACAGAGTCATATGTACGCTGCTGGGGTCTTGCAAGGGAGTACATCTTAGTAAGTCCTTCCTAGTGCGAGGCTGGGGGTGGAGCTTAATTCTGCCGACAGCCTCATCTTTTTTTGTAGTCTCCCACCATATTTTACTCTATGAGGTACGCAAACATGCATATCTGATGTTTTAATTATGTTAAGTCAACTCTTTCTTGAATATACTAGAGAAAATTTTACTTTTGAAATCCAAAATTACATTGTGAAAATCATTGTTTTACTATATTGCGGTTTATTTCAGTATGTACAAATAGCCTTCAAACACTCTCAAGGTCTGATGTATTTTACCACCGCGTATCTTTCCTCCATGTGCACCTGCAGAGCAGATGCTAAACTTGTGCAGCGCCTCTGAAGCAGTGCCTCCCAAGTCCATCCTAGTTTTGGCCGCCGTCAGTACTGTATTAAGTAGTTGAATTTCAGTGCATCGTGACTCTTTGGGACTCAGATGTAAGACAGTGCTCAAATGTGCTGTATTTTCTTGTTCGTGAAGCAGTTCAATTCGTTCACATCCCTCCCTTCCAAGGGGGCCTGCCTCCTGCCTCTTGTTCTGGAGCCTGATCTTGCCCTGAGAGCCACCAGCCATGCTGTGTTTGTGGGGCCAGCTCCAGCTTCTAGCGCAGAAGGGCCCTGGGGCCTGGCGCTCTGCTGGGCGCAGCAGCTGCCGGTCAGGGCCGTGCTGGGCCTGGCTCTGCACCAGCCGGAGCCCCGGGCCTTA